CCCGCCGAGGGTCCCCGTCCCCCCCCTGAAAGTGCCTTACTCGTGCCCAGTGACAGTGGGTTGGAGTGCCTGTGTGAGTACATTGTGTGAGTACGTTGTATTTAGTGTGTGGTTGCTAGTATGTTGATGGCTGAGCCGGACAAACGGCCGTCTGCAGCTGCGTGTCTTGAGTTGGAGTGGATGCGACACGGCGGCGAGCAGTTCAGTCGTTAGTGTGGAGACGTTTCTGAGTTGTGAAGTACGAAAGTGTTGTGCCTGTCGGGAAGTAGTTGGACCCCGGGCCGGTGTATTTTATTTTCGTGGGTCAATGGGGAGGAAGACAAAGGTCGGTAAGGGGCGTAAGGATCATTTCTATAACCTTGCGAAGCAGCAAGGGTTTCGTGCGCGTTCTGCGTTCAAGTTGACTCAGTTGGGTAGCAAGTTCAATTTGTTCGATGAGGTGTCATTTATCATAGACTTATGTGCAGCGCCAGGTGGTTGGATGCAGGTTGCGCGACAGGCAGTGCCAATGGCAGGACATGTGTTCGGTGTTGACTTGTGTCCGATATCTCCGATAAAAGGTTGTACGGGTATTCAGGCGGATATAACAACAGTTCGTTGCGAGAGGCTATTGAACGAGGCGATGAGACGAGTAGGTGTTCCGGACTGTAAGGTAGAGTTGGTTCTACATGACGGTGCACCTAACGTTGGTGCGGACTGGAACAAGGATGCCTATGTCCAGAATGACTTGGTGTTGAAGTCCCTTAGTTTGGCTTGCAAGTATTTGAAACCTCATGGTAACTTTGTGACCAAAGTCTTCCGTAGTGTGGACTACACTAAGCTGCTCTTTGTCTTCTCACAATTATTTGCCCAAGTGGTTGCAACGAAACCGTCTTCGTCGCGTGACGTATCGGCTGAAATCTTCGTTGTGTGTAAAGGCTTCAAAGCTCCCCAAAAAATTGACCCAGCCCTCTTCGACGCCTCCAAGGTCTTCCAGGCGATCGAGGAAGGTCCCACCAAGACTGAACTTGTCTCCCAAGCCTTACTGCCGGCCGGCGCCAGGGGAGGACTGACCATGGGTGGGCTCACGGCCGCTATGAAACTCGTGGGTAAGAAAAACCGCAGCGGTTACGAAGAAGGCGACCTGTTCCGCAAGTGCACGGTACGTCAGTTCTTCGAATCGGCAATGCCGGCTCAAGTTTTGGTACTCCATCATCGCATGGAATTTAATTCGGCAGACACACTTGACCAGGAGATTTTCAACCATCCCAGCACCACCGATGTGATCAAAGACAGTATCCGCGACCTCAAGCTGCTCGGCAAGCAGGACCTGCAGCAGCTGCTCAAGTGGCGGCTGCGGATTTTGAAGGAAAAGGCCGCGGCAGCGAAAGAGGTGTCGGATGCGCAAAAGAAAGCCGAGGAAACGTCGCGGCAACAGGAGAAGGAACAGGCCCGAGAGGGCATGACCGAGGCCGAGAGGGCGCAGGCGGACGAAGAGGAGTTGGAGGATATGTTACAGTCGGAAGCACGCGAGAAGTTGAAGAAATTACGAAAGTTGCGCGCGAAATTCCGCAAAATTTCGGAGAAGTCGCAAATCGCGCAAGCCGTATTTAATGCGGAGGAAGAGGAATGCTTCCCCAGCGCGGCCGTCGCGGCCGAGGCCTTCGCGGAGGAGGAACGGGAGGTGGACGCTGCGCTACTTCAAGACGACGCTCCATTGGTCACCCAAGAACGCATTGAGCAACTTCAGAAAGAGGTGCTCGGTGACGAAGCCGACTCTAGCTCCGACGAAGAGAGCGAAGCCGGCAGCGACGTAGACTACGTCGACCTACTCGAACGCGAAATGGAACGGCTGCACGAAATGGAGAAGGAAACTGCAGCCGCACACTCGATTGCCAAGGAAGCCGCCAAAAAGAAAGAACGTCGCCGAGAACGTGTCTTCAAAGAATGGGCCGAAGAAATGACCGAGTTCATGACCGACCTGGAACAACGGAACAAGGACGCACACATAGCTCTCGACTCCGATGAGGAGGCTGAAGTCGACCTCAAGGAGTATTATGCAACGACTGGAGGCGCCGGAGATGCAACCCCAGACGATTCGAAAGCTGGAGACGCTTCGGAAGCGGAAGGCGACGACCAGATTGAGAGTGACGACGACCAGGCTGAGAGTGACGGCGACCAGGCTGAGAGTGACGGCGAGGCAGATGAAGGTGAGAGTGAGGCTGAGAGTGAGGCTGAGAGTGATGCTGAGAGTGAGGCTGAGAGTGAGGCTGAGAGTGAGTTGGAGGTTCCCCTGAGTCGAAAGCGGCCATTGGACGCGGCGGAGGATGACGACTCGTTGTCCGAGATCGACGGGTCTTCGGATGAGGAAGCCGATCCGGAAGGCATAGAGGAAATTGCGGAGTCTGAGTTGCCGCAGATCCCGTTGAATGAGAAGAAGCTGCGGCATGAGCGACGATTGAAAGCGGCGGTCCGACAGGAGAAGAAGGAGGCCCACAAAGCGGGCAAGCAGGCTAAGTTGTTGGGTCAGTTGGGAGGATCGGTAGAGGCCGTGGCGGCTCGAGGAACTTCGCGTGGGTCAGGGGCTATCGTAACTGAGTACAAGCCTGCGGGCTTACCAAAGGGCCCAGCGCCGGGTGCGGGCTCTAACGGTAATGGTTTCCCGAAGCAGGCTCTGAAGAAACCGGATACGTTGGAGGAAATTGCGGAAGTACAGGCACTCGGGTCATTGATGCGGCATAAGGAGAGCCGGATGGATTTGCTCGATGGTACGTATAATCGATGGGCTTTCAACGACCCATCTGAACTTCCCTCCTGGTTCGTTGAGGAGGAGGCCGTAACGCGCGTACCCGACCTCCCCATGACCAAGGAACACTACCAGGAATATCGTAGGAAACTCAAAGAAATAAACGAACGACCGATTCGCAAGGTCCAAGAGGCACGAGCCCGCAAACGCGCCCGTATGGACAAGAAACTCGAGTCCATCAAGAAACAGGTCGCTAACATCGCCGAGTCCGCCGAAATGAACGAACGCGGTAAGGCACAAGCTATCGATAAACTCAAGCGAAAAGCTCTCAAGGCCACCGATAAACGACGAGGACATAAAGTCTACGCCGTAGCCAGACGAAATGGCTCCGCCAAAAATTGCAAGCCCAAGGGAGGCCAAAGGGGCAGCCGAGTCATCAAAGTTGACAAACGCCTTAAGGCAGACAAACGAGGAAACCTCAAAGGCAAACCCAAACGGCGCTAACCAAAATTACTATGGACATTTTTTCCAACGCCGCCAAGCGATTTCCAACAACTAATCAACCCCCGTTATTTTCTTCCACTCGCGCACGTGTGCACACACGTGTGTGCGCGCGCGCTAACGCACGAAAAATGCGCATTGACTCCAGCCCACCCATGTGACTGTATTTTGTGTGCGTGCGTGAGCTGTATCTCGTTTTGACGCACATTTCCATCTCCGGGTAAACGCTTATCTACCATGTCCTGACGACGTTCCGCCCGCAGGAGCTGTTGACAAGTCCGTCGTCTCCCACCAGTTCATGGCTAGCTCGGCTCCCAGGTTTGATATGGCTATCGAATCCCAGGTTTGATATGGCCGTCGGCTTATGGGCATCGGCTTCCAGGTTTGGTTGGCTGCGTGTTGACTCAATACCAAGTGAAGTGCAGCCAACTGTGGAGTGGATTGATGGATATGGGGTACGGCGAGAGCCGACGGACTGCGCATTTCGGACGGATTGCCTGTTTCTGGCAGATTGCCAATTTCAGACGGATGGCCCACGATGCATAACAATGGAGGCGGCGTGCTGAAGAATGAAGACCACCTAGAGTGGTTCGCACCTTGGTGTGACGGCAGTTCGCTGATGGCAGCGCTGAAGTGATGGGCAGCGTTGAAGTGGTCAAGAAGCACGCGTTCAAATTAAGTTGAACTCCATCAAAAAGCAGATTCCCCGACAGCGTCTCGAAGGGCCTGACCGGATTTGGTGGTCCGCCCAGACAGATTCTGGTCAGGTCAGTTTAGGTCTAGTAATCAGCCCAGCCTAGGTCAAGATTCGCATGAGGAATAGCCAGTCGCGCCGTTGCCGCGCGTGACATTGATTCCATCCTTTACATTTGTCATTTTCGAAAACATTACAGATCGTCGTAACGCACCATTGTCCGGTAGTTGCCACCGCCGGCCTTATCCTAAAGAAAAAGGATTTACCAAAACAGCGGTACGAACACAGTAGCATCCCGTTTTATCCCGAACATAGTATCCCGAACACAGTATCCCTTACCTCTAACCGAGACCGCGGAGCGTCCCAGTCTCGGAACATAGGGCGCTCCATGGGCGTAGATCTGGAGCCAGCTGACTTGGTCCGCCGTTGCGGCCCGTATGCAGAGTTCGTAGTAGTCGCTCGTGGAAACACTCTCATGTAGTCCGTCGAATTCGCAACAAAGAGCAAAAGCTTCATGTCGTCTGCTTCGAACACCGCCGATGTTAACTGCTGGTTGATCTGCAAACAAGACGCATCAACAACGGCCACCCAAACATGTGGTCCCAGAACGAGCCGACCAGCGGCTTCCACCAATGCCTTTGCACCGCGCTCTGCCCGAACCCGGACCAGGTCCAGTCTAGCGGTGTGAGGTGTAACGGTGTGAAGTAAGACTATGAAAGCGGTGTGAAGTATACATTTTTTATTAGACTGTTGATCTCGTCCTGATGTTTGTTTTTCAAGTGTTTATGCACGTAATCGGGACCCTTGAAAAGTTTCTTGCAGATTCCGCAGCGATACTTTTCGTCGTCCACTCTGAGGGTATTTTCTTCGGCGAACTCGAGCCAGTGTGACTGGAACAGAGGGTGGTCCGCGGTCACCTCGGTTTTGATGTCGCCGAAGGGGAGGTGCTGGAGCTCATCAATTCGTTTGTCGAATAACACACTGTCCTCTACTGTGGTGAGATACCCTTCGTTCTCAATGAGCTCCACTTCACTCTCCGCATTGAACTCCAAACGGAACGTGCCCGGCCCACAGGTTTCCAACAGTTCCCGAGGCGTCCAACAGATACGCCCGCAATACAAGTCTGCCAAATGTACGTACCTCAGGTACAGCATACAAATATCCAGCGCTCTCGACTCAGGAATCGACTCTCTAAAAATACAGGCGCGTGTGTGCACACGCGCGCGCGCAAATATAAAATGAGAATCGAGTGAAGGAAAGGTGAGAAACAACACACGTAATTGACTGTCGCGAGCCGGGGGCGAGCTAGATAAGGCGAGGGGGCGAGGAAGAGGGAGCATACATTGATTTGAGGAATAAGTTGACGGCGGTCGGCCTCTGGGCTGTATGTTCTCGTTTTTCTTCGTCCTCGTCTGCCTTGTCGTCTTCGTCGGCCTTTTCGTCTTCCTTGAGTTCGGCGGACATGCTGCCGTCGATGGGGTCCTCAGAGTAGACTGCAAAGTCGGCGTCGAGTTTGCTAATGAGGTTGCGCGCCAGGTCTAGTTCGCGCGCGAGTCTCTCCGTGGGGGCTACGCTAGCTATGTTGATTCGCCGCGGGCGATCGGCTCGCAGTTTGAGCGGCTTGGCAGTGCTCATGTCTCCAATGGGTTTTTGATCGAGAGAGAGTTCGGCGGCGGCACAGGATTCCTCGGAGTCGAACTCCAGCCAGCCGGTGAGTAGCGGGAAGAGCGCTCCTCCCTTTGCTCGGACGTAGCACTCCGAGAGCGAGTGCTGGATGGCGGCCTGTTCCACGTCGGTGCAGTCTTGGGTGTCTTTGCTCGCTTGCAGCAAAAGCGGTCCCCTGTGCTCGTCTGTGAGGCAGGACGGAATTAGGGTGGCTCCGAGGAAGCCGGGGGTACCTGCGCACAATTCTTCGAGCATCTGCAGCGTGACGTCGGGAGGAAGCTTCTTCAAGACCAAAGTACGGTTCGCCGCGGAGGCGCAGGTGAAGAAGCGTTCTACGTTGGCCGATACCGCAGACGCCGGGGCCGCGGCGTCCTCCTCCGCCTTCATAGTTATTTCCGTCACGCCCGTTTTCTTTGACCTTATTTGCGCCGGGTCCAGGGAGCCAATGATGCGCCCGCTCTGCGGCTCTTTTTGCAGGTGGTCAGTGGGAATGGCGCAGGTAAGTGAGACGTCGTCCAGGGCGTGTTCCTGTAGCAAGAGGTTCAAGAAGCTTTGGGCAGCAGACCGTGCGTACGTGACTTTGCGGAAACACAGTAGTCGCAGGTGCTCGGGGGAATACCGGTCGCGAACGAAACCTCGATCCTGGCTCTGTGCAAACATCTTCCGCGCGCTAAATATCTTGAAGTCGTACTTGTACTGATCGTATAAACCCACCGCAGCACCTGGCTCCAACGTATCCGCCTGGTACTGCATAAAGTCCTTGAACGAGTGAAACCGCTCGAAAATGGGAGCGACCACCTTCGCCTCTATGCTGTAAGACCGACGCCTCTCACTCATCTAATCAGGACCAACTATTTCAAGCAATATACCTACTGATGAATTTTCACCACACAAAAAAAGGCCATCAACCCCGCTAAATCGAAAAAGAGGAGCACATGTCAAGATGTAACACTTGCCGCACACACATACACTCTCCCCAACCGCCCTCCATGTGCAGTCATGTGAAGACATTCTAGTTCCTTGTCATTGAGCCTATAGGATGTACCTGTAGGCTTCAAGTCACTGCGATGGCTTATTCTGTGTCTGGTCACATTGGGCCCACTCCTACCGCAGAAGCACTGCATGCGCTACTTGTTCAAACAACAGGGCATGATGCTAATCAATTTACTCTACGCAATATCGGGCGCGTTAACTCACAAGCGATACTCCCATAATTTCATTCTCTCTGAATATTTGTGTCTACGATTTGGAATTGCTGCCGCAATTACCTTTTCAATTCTAGCTGTATGCCTACTTCGAGAAATGACTTTCGTAACTACCCATCTTAAACAAGTGTGGAACTTGCTGCCGATTGCGTCCCTAGTTTCCTTCTACCCCGCCTTCACAGACGAGGCACCAGTACCGAACATAATGCCCTTCATGCCCGTGACATACAGCTTGGCCGCCTGCTGGCTCTGCTATCCTGTTGTACATATGGTACTAGACAAGCTGGACTTGCCGCTGCGCGTCCTCGGACTCCTTGCGGCGCCCTTGCTAAACATAACAATGATCCAATTAATGCCTTCACAAGTTTTGCTAGACAGGCGAGATCTTACCTCAGGGCTGGAGTACGGAACGAACTTGTTTTATAACCACATCCTCTTCAAACTGCCGATTTTTATAACTGGCGTTTGCGCTGCTTCCATTGCCGAAGAATGCAGCTACAAGAACCCACCCACCAATGCAAATTACCTGGGAGTCTTCACTGCGCTGGGACCTCCAGAACTGCCACAGGAAACTCCAGGAACGCCGACTACTACAGACCCGATCCCGAGTACCTTTCTGCCGTCCGAAGCGAGTGCCGAGGACATTATGGGTAACCAGCCATTATCGTCTGACGGGGTGGTCCCTACCAGGCCTGGTGTGCCGAGTTGGAGCTTGACGGTATCATCTGCAATTCGTCATTGTGTTTCGTCCATGGGTGCGTCTAACTGGTTGTTGGGAGCAGTTATGGATGGGCTGGCTCTTCTATGTTTGTTGGTTATCATGTATGACCCTACGAGCTCAGACACACTGTACTGGTTCAGCAACAACGGCTCCAGGTGGACGGCCAGTTACTGGACTGTGTTGAGTAGTGTGCTGCTCCTTGTACCATTCTCACTCTGGATGATTGTGGCCCTGGCGTACGAGGAGCACAGCAGAGCTTCGGTGTCCTACAGAGTGTTGTCCAGCGCTCCTTTGATCGCTGTGCTTGAAGGCAGGGCCGATATTGTTTATGCGCTATCCTATAAGCTAATACTGCATGGCTACACGGCCCATGCCCGAGGCGAGTTTCTCAAAGGCAAAGGGTTCCTCCTGTACTGCTTTATTGCACTCATGCTCTGCCACACCACTGCCAAGTATATCTGGCGGCCTTTAGAACTTTGGTGGAGAGTCTACGTCGAAACAAACTACGGCCGGCTCAGAGGCTCTGCCGCCACAGATAAAGCCGAAACGAGATCCGACAACAAAATTGGCCACAACAACATTGGCTACGACCAAGGCCACTTGGCGGAAGAAAGACAACAAGACATATCGGCTTCGGTCCGTGCGGCACTCCATACAAGCATCAACTGGGTACCGGATGATACCGACAAATCAGACGAAAAGACGATGGTTCAAATCCAGTCCTTGTCCTATCGGGATGGCTGGGAGTTCTTCTATAAAGTTTTTTTAGCTAATTGAAATAATGCACGGAGGCTTCAGCGATACACTACGGGACCACACTCCAAGTATGCCAGACCCAGTCATGCCGGCACAAGCCACAAGCAAAATCAAGCTACCGAAGAACGCCAGCAGGATTATTTACGTGAAGGGACTGCCAGCTAAAGTGAGCAACGACGACCTCTACGACATCTTTGGCAAATACGGATCCATACGGCAAATTCGAGTGTAGGCAAACCATCCAGCGCCACACCAGTGCTTACACACGCCGACGTCTTGTAGACACCGGCTTGGCTTGACATTGCATTTTATGTAGGGGTGTTGCCCCGAATACCAAGGGAACAGGCTACGTCGTTTACGACGACATCTGCGATGCGAAGAATGCCGTCGACCATCTCAACGGATTCAACGTCGCCGGCAGATACATTGCCGTGTCCTACTTCACAGCACCTAGACCAGATCGCGAAGAAAAGAAGCTGTTAGAAGAAGAACTACGGATTATCAGAGAAAAGAGCGGATTCATCTAGCTGGGTCGCATGCAGTATTGTTAACGCGTGCAAGTGATGCTCGCGTGCGTGTCCCGCGGAGATGATAGTGGTGCACCAGAAGGGGGACGGCATGTTAGTCCCTCAGCGATAAAAATTTCTCGCGGTGAGTATGCCTCGCTGTGAGGAAGATTACAGGCCAAGCTCTTTCTCGAGAGCCAAAAGGTCGTCAATGTCGTCGTCTTGTTGGTCGTCAATGCAGCAGCCGATCTGCTGATCCTTGCTGTCCAGTGCGGGGCACGACTTGTTCTCTGGCACACTGGGGTTCACCTGGGCGTCTCTGTTGACGTCTTCGAGGTCAGTATCTATGAGATTGGATTGTGGCATATTGCTGGCTGCACCGGATACTGGGGCAGCCGGCTCTCCCGAGATTTCCCGGACACCGCCAGTCGGTCGTAGGGTGCCTTGTTCAGCCGACCTGTGGTGGAAAGCCAGCTCATCCGGACGCTCGGCTTTGATGCCATCACTCTCTTCCACAGTTTGGGCTCCATTGCCGGCATTTTTTTCCGAACGCTCAGGTTCTCCGGAGTTAACAGGCTCTTCGGAAAGGGCAGGTTCTTCGGAGTGGGCAGATCCTTCGGAGTGAGCAGGTCCTTCATTATCTGGGCAAGCAAGACCTTCGTTATCTTGGCTAGTAGACGATACTTCGTCTGCTATGGGGTCAGGTTCATCTGTTACGGATTTACCTGCAGCTGAGAGATCCTCTGCGGAGGCTTGCGTCCCCCCCGTGAGGGTCAAGGAAGTTGGAGGGTTCAAGGAAGTTAGAGGGTCCTGAACGTTGTTAGGCGAATTGCCACGCGTCTTAATGGCACCGAAGAACTTGGAAATAAGTTGTTGAGTCTTTTCTGGTGCACTGACGAGGGTACTGGTGATGTTTTCGGTAATTCCGTTATTTCCTCCAGTACTAAGTTCCTGTCTTGCCCTATGTGCGGCGAGGGCAGTCCGTTCCCGAACCTCTTCTTCTTGATGGATGCGCTTATGAATGTAGGTCTTTATAATTGCGGCGGTGACTTCCGTGTTCGATTTCAATTCGTTGAGTTTCGTTTCTATGCCAAAATGCACCCAGATCCAAAAGTCATCCTCTGAAATAACTTTGGGCACCGTTGTATAACGCAGGATACATAACTTGCGCATATCCCGCAGCATCTGCTGCAGATCCAACGCCGGCAGCGACGTCTTGTAGTCACTTGGCGGCGGGAAATCAGTTATTGTATCCAGGCTCTCGAAAATGTCATCCAACCAATCTAACACGCCCCGGTCAACCTGCGGCTCATAGTCGCCGCCGTACCGCTCATATATGTCCGTCAAGTACGGACGAAAACCCCATAACACATTCTTCTGCTGACTCCACTCTTCCTTTATAGTCAGTGCTGTAGACTTGGCCAAGGCTAGGGTAGCCTGAATCCCCGATATCATTTTGCACAAAAAATCTATAGACCCCCCAACTTCGGCAACGCGCTCGGCAATGATCGTCCAGACAGAGAAAGACAGGGAAGGACAACAGGTATAATGACAACAGCATACTGATCGCACTGCATGCGGACGGTCATTCCGTCAATCCTCGGACTAGCGAGACATCAGTCACTAATACCGTTACCAATGCGGCATTTCCTGTCCTCGAGACACCGGCGTAGGATATAACAGCATTACTCACGGAGACATCGACCGAGAGCGCGCTTTCAAAATCGTGTGCACACACTTTCGAAACAATCGCCGCTGCTTGCTGGTCCGTCTCGCTGGCAAATACTTTCCTATCCACGTAACTATCATAGAGGTGCGACGAGCCAGGCGCAGCTCGGGCAAAATTACCTGAACAGATCGAAACGGTGACATGCTGTTCTTACTGCGTTTCGCAACAGTTTCCTATGGACTACGTAGGTGGCCCTACTGGTGCCTGCTTGATCTGCCTCGTCGATTTGCTGCTATCCGAACCTAGCGCTGTTTTGGATGGCTGATGGTTGTTTTGCAGAAATGTCCCCGTTTAGATCTGGTGATGAAAACTACCCTCCTATTGACCAGATAGGACGGCTGGTAGGACTCTCGTATCCTCCAGTGGGCGGGTACGATACGGACGATGCCGGGAAAGATTTTATCAACGTGCACTTTGATTTTTATCCTGAAGATTGGACGGAGGTGACTTCGAATAGCGAGCAGCTTGCGTCCTTGAGGAACGCTGTGATTAAATTGAAAACGGACCAGTGGACCCACGAAGTCAAGGAGCGTAACATGCAGAAGAAACTGGATGCAAATGCTTTAAATTTATTAATCCAAAGTTTGAACCACTATGGCTTGCTGGAGGAAATGAAGAAGGCGGCTAGCCGATACGGACGCGACACCTACTATAAAATACCGCCCTCTTTGCCGCTGACTTTGTTGGGCAACAGTCTGCAGAAAGAGACGGCGATAAACAAAAGATTGGACACACGGGACGCCAAATGGAGAAGTAAACACAAGGGAGACTTAGACCAACAAGCTGTCGAATACGATAGCAGTTGGCTAGACAATGTACCAGACGACCTCCTAGCGCCAATCATGATTCACACAGGTCGTGTGCAGTGGCATAAACACGATGACAATACCCCCATGGCCTAGCCGATGTAATGACCACATCTCTGGCCGGTTGTCACCCACCTTAAAGCCGTGCTTGACAACACAATTCCATAGACATGGTGGCACAATGCCGTAGACATGACTGCGTGTCCGTCACCATACCTGCCACTGCCAGGACAATCTCCTGCTGTGAGCATAGACTTAGACGAATACTTTCGGGAGCACCTTGTCCAAACGCATTTACTCGCAGCTGTAGGAGCTGGTTGACTGTACAGCTCCTTGACTGTACAGCTCCTTGGCTGTACAGCTGGTTGGCTGTACAGCTCGTTGGCTTGTACGTTCGTGCAGCCCAACGCTATACCGGCTCAGAGAAAAGAACCGAAAAGAATTTCTTAATCAACGTCGCTAGTATTAATCCCATCATGCTCAGCGTTTTCCTTGCCGGTACCTGTAGGTGGTTGGGCAACAAGACCGTGCATCTAGCACCGGATAATGCCGCGCTCGGGTCGGATAGCGTAAGCTTGCTTCGGTGATGGTCAAATTCATGCTCGATGTATAAATATTTCATGTCCAACCTACCAGCATGAACGTGAAGTGTAAGCCGCTGTGTACAGTGAGCCGGCTAGTAATGTCGAAAGCTGGTCGTCACGGAGTGGCTGCCTCAGATTTGGTGTTCGGGCAGAACGGCCTGTCGGTTCGGTTCCAGGCAGTGCCACTTTTAAATTCGGCACCCAGAAATGCTTACAGGCGTTGTTTTTCCGTTGGACCTCCATGGACCCGTACGTAAACTTTAGAGCGCCTGATCTCTACAACAACAATTGATTGCTTCGGTAGCTTAGTGGCAGAGCGTTGGTCTTGTAAACCAAAGGTCGTGGGTCCGATTCCCATCCGGAGCTGCTTACGGATATCCAGAACGAAAAAGCCGAAATAATGTAGCTTAGCCAGCAGCAGGTCCAACCGTCCTTTAGAACATCTGAAAGCATGAACGTGCGGTTGTTGCCAGCTTACCCTCTGACCTTTACGTAGTGCTGCTTAAATGGGTCCGGCAACCAATGAGTATCATTGGTAGACTCTCCAAACGACTCTGGAGTTTTGCATCCCGAAAGGTCTTGTGCCAACGGGGGCTCGATAGTAGGATGTAAGCTCCGCGATGCCACGTGGATAGGCTTTGGAGGCTGATCCATGCTCCGGGGGCGGTCCATGTTTCTGTAATGGGGAGACGGAAAGAAGGCAGGAGGCCTATCTCCCACTTTGGGAGTGTCTGCTCTGCCAATCCCAACGGCTTTTCTTGATGGTCCGCCATCTGACGATCCCCTGTCAGACATTACACGCTCACAGTCGGGTAAGTTGACGAACAGTCTTGGTTCCTGCGAGCTCGGTCTCCCCCATCGGGAGCACAGAATCGGTTTCAGAGAATGGCCAGGTGGCAGGTCGTGTACTGCCACTGACGCCTGAGCAGGTATGAATCTGCTGGGTGACGAAGACCTTTGAGGAGGCACCAACCCCTGACTTCCCAGCCCCTGTCTTTCTGCCCCCAGTCCTGATCCTCCCAGGTACATGTTACGCGGGGAACCCCGCATCAAGGAGTTTCCCTTGTCATACCAGCCCCCACATGTATACCTAATGTTCACGGCGTCCGTCCCATATCGGGCGGGGTGTTTCATAGCACTTCTCGGCGAAATTACGTCCCCGACATCATGCGACGACAAAAGAGAAAGCGGTCGCCGACCGCCAACCGTTGGCTGAGTAAAGAATCGCCTCGTCGTAATCGCTGGCTGCGAATAATTGCCGTATGAACCATGGCTGGTAGGAAGCACGAATCGCCGGTCCAGGATTCGCTCGTCTCTGGCCCAGTCAAACGCCTTAGCCATCCCGCACCGCTACCAATCCTTTTCTCACAATTTGAGCACATGCAAAAATCATCAACATAAACACAACATCCCGGCAAGACCACAACCACAACTAAGAATGTCCTGCTAGATTGGCCTACGAAGAAGATCGCACCATATTCCTGATGATAGCCCAGTGTCTACTTCCCGGGGGGGGGGGGCACTGTCAGTGTCTACTTCCCGGCTCAGGGCATCTGCCTCGGTACCCGGATCCCGGTATATAGCCCCCAAAAGGTTTAGAACGTGATTTTCTCGTTACGGAACTGTTCTGAAGCCCGTCGGCGCTTGGTCAACATGGACTCCGCAAACAGGCTGTCCAGGCTCCCCGGCGCATGCTTCGGCGGTCTGTTCTCCCTCGGGTCCGCCGCGTCCAACCGCCGCTTACCGCCAGCCCAGGAGTAACCGGCCTTCGCCGCGGCCGATGACTGAGGAGCCGTCTCAGTGCTCACTCGCGGGACCATGCTCGCCCGACGCCCCACTCCCTTGGCGGGCTCCGCGTTGGCCGCCACCGGCGGCTCATTTTCACCACCAGCGGCTACGCCACTGGTTATTGCAACACCAAGCAGTACTTCCACCGCGGACGCTGCATCCGCTGCGCACGGTACTACCGGGGCCGGCGCAGTATGGTCCGTGTCGGTTGCAGCAGGTTTCTTCATGGCGTTTTCAAACATCTTGTTCAGCTCGTCTGCGCCAATCGGGTTACAGACCGGGCGGTCTAAGGCGACCGCGCGGTCAATGGCACACGTGTGTCCTGGAGACCGTCCTTGCACACGGTTCTCCGTGCAAGGGACCGGGTCCGCACGGGTCGGGACATCGTCCTCGTCGGGGTCGCTGCTAAGAGGCTGCAAACTCACGCGGGGTCCGAACTCCAGTCGGCACTCTGCCGCCACCACGTCTTTGGATTTCGTGGCAATTTCCATGACCGCGACTGGAGACGAGAGATCCACCACAGGTGACCCCCGCGGTCTGGACTGCACATCCCGTCTAGATTCCGCCTCAGCACGTCCCCTGGTGGGAGTGACGTCGCTATCGACGCATACTGCCTGCTTTTTCTTCTTCTTCTTCTTTTTGGCCGTGGGCGACTGAACGCGGAAGAAAGATGTAATTGTGGACATCTCCGTAGCGTCTGAACCAGTTCGGTCGGACTTGGGGACTTGCGAGTGCGAACGTTGCCCTGACCTGGCGGCTATTATTGGTGTGATTGTGGATGGGAGCTGGGCTCCTCTCACGTCGGCTGTAGCCTTGGCAGTTGTGCCCTTGGCAACTGGGCCCTTGATAGCTGTGGCTAGGGCGGACGGTTTCATTGATTTCGGTTCCACTTTACCGGAGCATATTAGACGTGTTTCTTCGGCGGTGAGCATGACTCCCATGAAGTCTTTTTCGGGGATGTGTGGCGGCAGAGGGTGGTTTCGAACGCACGTCCGTTGGACGGGGTCGTAAACTGCTTGGTATTTGAAGGTGAGGTAGGCGTTACGCAGTTCCTCGGCGAGTTGATCGGGGACAAGGAAACCTTGTGCGCTAATCTCCTTGGCAAGTTTGTCAATGCGCGTGACGGGGGTGCTTGGGGTGCGATCCTCGGCGTCTTCGCAGAAGGCATGTTCTTTGGCCAGGAAATTACTAAGCAGTTTGCCTCCTTTTTTGAGACCGAGACCTTTGATCCCGTCGCTGTAGTCGCAGCCGGCGAGGCTACAGAGTTGAATGAGTGAGTCGTGGGAGTAGAGAGTGAGGGGTAGTAGATTAGCGCTCGGCAGATCTTGGGCGCTGATGACGAGTCCGCGGCCGGCGTCATCTAGTTTGAAAAAGACCTTGCGGCAACCGTAGAGTATCAAGTCGCTGTCTTCAGAGATGACGAAGTCCACGTAACCCGTGTGCGATAAATAGCCTAGCTGCGCATCCGCCTCATATGGCGCCACAATGAACTCCACATCCTTCGCCTGTAATTGACACAATAGATGCTCCACCATTTGCCACGTAATGCTGATCGCCTGTCCCATGGCTTTATACGCACCCGCCGAGTCACCCTGAGCAGCCAACCGTCTCGCATCTGCCCTCGACGCCTCGCGCGATGCATGTCGCGCGAAATTTGTCTTCGCCTTCGACGGCAACGGACGACCATCCAGCACTACCACCGGCCGTACACCGAACGACCGTACCATCGCCACCTTCCGTAACACATATCGTGTAGGCTTGTCGGTAAACGTACCATTCACCACGTTCTCCACGGCTGTAAAAGCCGCTTTATGTAACCACGCGTACCCGTCTATCGCCGCACTCCGTCCCGCAAAATCCGACAAACAACTCTCACGCGCTACCGGCCGCAACGCCTGTAACAAACCCTTCACTCCCATCTTCTACAATCTCGAGCACACCTCTTCTCTCCAGTCTTAAGCACACACTTCCCCAATCACACAAAACCGGGTCTCACACAAACCGGGTCTCACGCCTCCTTCAAATCCAATCTCCTCGCTTTGCTCGCAGAAATACGCCTCTATGCTACAACGCTCCCAGATTTAACATCCCAAAATACTGTTTTTCAAAAAGACTAAGATCCTTTTGGTCGTTCCCCTGCTTCGACGTTGTGCGATGTTTAGTGGTAGCCTGTTTTGCGCGTCCCGTAGTCGCAAATCGTAGCCCGAGCAGACGAGTTTCCTCAGCATCTCGACGTTCCCGAATTGTGCAACAAAATGGCTCAGTGTCCATTTCATATCTTCGATTAGAATCTCGTCTGGCTCTTCATACTTGATGAGCTGATAAAAGATCGACGTTCGATTTAACACCACCGCAAGCATTAACGGCGTCAGGTCATACACTCGTGGCCCTGGCGGCCGTCGTACCGGACTACTCGACACCGCCGACCACGAGTCCTCGCTCGGACCACCCATCCGAATATCCGGAAACTGCCGCAAAGTAAACTGCGGAGCAATACTCATCCTCGACGGTGAAGTCAACCGCGGCGACATCAACCGCGGCGATACCATTTCCGACGAAGTCGCTCCCGGCGGAGTCATCACCGGAGAAGTGATGTCCGGCAAAGTCGCTCCGGAAGAGCCCGGAGACAAAGTCCCGGTCCCCAGCGAAAAAGTGGCTCTTGGTGACACAGGCGTCCTCTTGGGTGTTCTCGACCGCGGGGCTCCCGTCTTGGACCTTGCCATATTCGACCTAGAGACATTCGACCTACAGACGTTCGACCTGGAGACATTCGTTGTGGGCCAGGCGTCGGTATGATGAGTGACAGCTCTCGACAAGTCTTTTGTGGCCGGGCTTTGCACAGTGGAACCTTGCGGACTCGACCGCTGTCGGACCAGACGGCTGGACCCACCAACCCGGGTTGACGCGTCCAGCTTCGGCGAGTCCTCCCTCCTTCGCCCTCCCTTCGGGGTCTCCGTCTGGGCCTTGGGGGTCTGAGCCTTGGGAGTTTGGGCCATGGGGGTCTCCTTCTCCGGGACACGCGATTTCGATGTTCCTTCCTCGGCGTGAAAGGGCGAGGACAGAATTGAATTCGGCGACGAACATGTCGGCGACGATAGCACCCGCTCGGTCCACGCACGGGCGCCCGGCAGATCGGGCCGGAGCGGCAGTCGAAGCTGCAGTTGCGGGATGTCCGTGATCCTCGTTCCCGGCAGCTTTGCCTCTTCCTCCACGGCACAAGGCGACCCATCTGAACTCGCCGGACCCGTCGAATGACTCCGGATCGACCTGGGCGAGCATCGTGGTGAGGGCACAGGTGCTAGCTGCCCTCCCGTCTGCAGCGGAAAGCAGAACATAATGGGACAGCCGTTATACGACGGCCCCAGGTTGGGGGACGCCAGACCGGTACCAGGACCAGGACCGGTATCAGGACCAGGACCGGTATCAGGACCGGTATCAGGACCAGGACCGGTATCAGGACCGGTATGAGGACCAGGACCGGTATCAGGACCGGGACCAACCTCGGTGCCGACACCCACGCCAGGGCCGGGGGCTGAAGTGCTGGGCGGCCACCGCGGGTCTGTCGGCCACCGCGGGTCTGTCGGCCACCGCGGGTCTGTCGGCCACCGCGGGTCTGTCGGCCACCGCGGGTCTGTCGGCCACCGCGGGTCTGTCGGCCACCGGGGGACAACATTTTCTCCTCCCAGCAGGTGGTCGAGAGAAACCTTCATCTTTTGTTTCCGGTTGCAATCGAACTGGTGTCTAAGAAGTTGGACGGGTTGCGGTGCACCGGCGATCACGGCAATGTGGAAGGCGTTCCGCCCGAACTTGTCCACTTCATTGGTCAGTGAAGGCTGCATAATACCGAGGAAGGAAATCGCGTCCAAATGGCCTGAGAAGACGGCTGCGAACCAGGTACGCGTAGTCACGTGATAGCCTTCATTCATCAACCGCGACAGGACACCCACACGACCCGTTTTCGCCGCCTCCAAAGCAATCTCTTCATGCAAAACCAACAACGGTTCCTCCCCGTAAATACTCCGATAATAACTTATCACCTCCTCGTTCCCGTGTAGGAATGCCAAAGAATATGGATGCAAGCCTCCCTCAGACTGCACACGAAACACCGCGCTCCTACGTGGTGGCACTTTGAACAACGTCACCGTACTCTCACGCATTTCAGCACTCGACCTCCTTCCATAACCTTTCTTAGGAGTCCCGTCAGGACTTGCTCCCCTGGTGGGACTGCGTCCCTCGGTAAACTGAGTCTGGCGGTCATGGCCCATGGAGCGCCTCGTGGTGAACGTTCCTTTCCGTGTGGGTTTATTCGCTCTCGCTGACCGTCGCGAGTGTGATCTGGGCAGGGGGCTCCCTCTGGGTGAACCGAGCGAACCGTCGCTCCTCGGACTCTTGACTCCATGCCGGCGGTCCCCGTTCCGGTCTCCGTTTCCACCCAACACGTTGGTGCTTTTTTGTCGTCTGAGGGTGGCCATCGTCTCTCCCTCACGCTCCTCGTCGATGACCGCGACTTTGACGGGCACAACGGGGTCGGGGGAGAAGACGGTGGGGGTGAAGGGAACGGGGGCCTGCCGCGGAGGTTCGGGGACCGCTGCGAACTGCGGATCGACTTCGAGCAGTTTGTCCATGACGGTGCTTGTGAATGTCTGTTCTGCGGCCAACGCTGCGTAGTGCAGCGGTGTCCACTTGCGCTCGCACCGCATTGTGAGCAACTCCACGGGTCCGTGTCGCACGAGCCACTCCACCGACGTCCGCACGCGATGCTGCACCGCGTAAACCAGCGGAGTGCGACCCAACCGGTCCTGCGCGACCAGGCACTGCACAAACGTCGCCGCGCGGTCGCTGTCGCGAAACCAACCCGTAGAACTCGTCGACTCCGACAACGTCGAGTCCTCGTCCGACCAACCTAGGGAACTCTCTAAACTCTCCAACTCGCCGTCCGACCCGCTGTCCAATCCGCTGTCCATCTCGCTCTCCAACCTCCGGTACGAGTCCAACCTCCGGTTCGAATACAACCTACGGTCCGAGTCCAGCCCCTGGCTGGAAGACCCGCAGCCAGAAGACCCGCTGGGCCGACGGCGGTAGTCCGCGAAGGCCGCCAGGTAGCGCAGCCAGCGGGGGTCACGAACAGCGTAGTGCACGGCATTTGCGCCACGCGCGTCCTCGATCGCCAACGCAGCGAAGTCGCGGCGCAACAGCCATCGCACACAGG